AAAAAAAAAAAAAAAAAAACAACACTGAACATATATAAGACTTAGTCTTTTTGTTTCTTCTCCAAACTCGACTAACACCCTATAGATTGAAATTCCAACCACTCTCGAAGAAACGCTTGCACTATAGCTTTCTTTGACTTCCACACTCGCTGAAAAACCCACAGATTCTGCGCTTTTCAGAGTCACCAAAGTATGTAAGTAGAGAGTTGAATGCATTCCTAAAAAACAACATAATAATCCAAAGATGTGATCCACCACCACCAATCTCTAAAGTCATGAATGGTTGTCTCTGAATAGTTCCACCTATCTGGTGTCATTTTCCACACACTTTGAGCTCTTCTACATTCAAACAGAAGATGTTATATGCTTTCAACATGTTCCCCACAACTATGACAAACTCAATCCACATTCACACTCCTTTCAGTAGATTCACATTTATAGGCAGAGACTTAGAGAAACACTGTCAAATATAGTATCTCCGTATTTCTTTTACATTTAACTTCCAACACCTTAGTCTAGCTTTCTTAGCACACTTAGTAGCATTACTACTTTCAGCTCTTTCCAAACATTGCACTTTTTTAAGGATTGAGGCAGAATAAGAAGCAACAGAGAACTTACCGTGCTTATTTAACAACCAGATCCATCTATCATTTGTTGTAGGGTCCAGGGTGTTGGTTTTGGTAATGGCAGTACAGGACTCAGGAGTAAATAAGTTATAAAGCAGCTCAGTGTCCCATCTTTGTCTCCCTTCAAGAAGCATATCTTTTACCCACAACCTCTTTTGTATAATGTTGTCTTCCTTCAACTGAGGGCAACCATTTGGCAACCCAGGCACCCAATGATCAGTCAGTATTCTAGTATTGAGTCCATCTCTAATTTCCCTCTTAATGTAATGTTTATAATCACATATGATCTTGGTCTCGCTATTCCACATCCAAGAAGACCTGATTTTTTAGCATCAAGAACACAACCAAAAGGGTAATCTCTCTCCTTGAGGATTGTGCTAACCAGCAGGTTAGTTTTAGTAAGCAATCTTCAAACCTATTTCAGAATTAAAGTCATTACAAACTTTGATTTTTGGAACCCCAAACCTCAGACTCCTTGGGAATAGTGATCAGATGCCAGGCTTTCCAGTGCACTCCTTCTTTAAGATCAATACCACCAAACCACCAAAATCCAGCACATAGCTAATAGATTTCCTTACAAATGTCCACTAGTAGACAGAAGCAAGACATTACAAAGATGGGCAGAGCATTTCTAAAAGATTTAAGCAACACTTCTTTCCCAGCCGGGGGAAGAAATCTATTCTTCCAACTAATTAGTCTGTTTTTAAAAGCATCTAACACAAAGCTAAAATCTCTATCTTTTATTTACCAATGCCCAAAGAAAGATCAAGGTACCTTGATGAATAACACATCTTGATCCCTTCAAGGGTCTGACAAACCACATGTTACAGCTGGGCAAACGTGTTCTTACTGAAGAAGACTTAAGATTTCAGTAGATTGAATTTCTGTCCTATGAACTTCTGGTAGACATGCAGAATCCTCTAACAAGTTAGCATGCTTAAATCAACAGCACATAACAAGGAATCATCAGCACACATGAGGTGTATCAATGCACTCCCTCTTCTAGTGATACACAACCCTTTAAATTCACCCCCTCTAACTGCAGTCAAGATAAATCTAGAGAACAACTCAGAAACCAGGATAAACAAATAAGAAGAGATATGGTCTTCTTGTATGAGGCCTCTAGAGGGAGTCAGATAACCAGCCACTTTGCCATTGGCATTAAAAGAGAATGATGAAAAATACAAGAAGATATCTATTTAACAAAGGTAGATCGGAAACTCATTCTCAACATAATACTGATGACACTGTTCCACTTCACTTTGTCACATGCCTTTATCATATCTAACTTTACTTCCATAAAACACTTGCTTCTTGATCTATGTCTATTTAGAAAATGGACAACTTCTTGAGCAATGATGACACTATCAAGAAGTTGTCTTGTAGGTATAAATGCATACTAACTATCACTGATACAACAATGGGAAGCTTTTTGGATATTATTTTGTAAGACACTCCACATAGACTGATAGGCCTGAATTGACTTGAAGAAGATGGGTTTAAGCACTTTGGAATGAGAGTGATGACTGTAGGATTTTAGTTTTTCAAGATCATACCAGGCACAAAAAACCAAACACAGTAGAGCACGATTCAGCTTTTATTATTGGCCAAAAGTGTTGGAAAAACAAGGGGACCATACCATCCTCACCAGGTGCCTCTAGAGGATTTATGGAGAATAAAACTTGCTTAACCTCAACTTCCTCCACTTTTTCCAATAAATCAAAGTTCATATCATCAGTAACAGTGGTAGGGATAAGTTGTAATACCTCTACATTTGCTTAAAATCCTTCAGATTTAAACAAGTTGTTGTAGAAATTAATAATGCACTCTTCTAATTGATCCAGGGATTCATTCACTCTATTATTTTCATCCATTTGTCTCACAATAGCATTAGTCTTCCTCCTACGAAGTGTTAGGGCATGGAAGAATTTGGTATTGTTGTCCCCCTCCTTCAACCACTGGTTCGTAGCCTTTTGTTGCAGTACTCTTCTTCAGAGAGATAGGCATTGTCAATATCTTTCTTCACTTTCTCCCACTCTTCCCAGTTTCTCCGCCCACCTGATGCTATCATCTCCTCTAGTATCAAAGTTAATTATTCAGTCACCTCCTCATTGTTTTTTTTTTTGTGCACCCTACTCCAGTTGAGTAAATCCATTCTCATTTTCTTTATATTTTCTCTCACATGGAACATATGGGGTGCCATCTTGCTCTTTCACCGAAGCTTGTTGTACCACATATCCCACTCCTACCTTCTTGAGCTACCTCTTGTCAAACTTAAACCTTTTATTCACTTTTGAGCTTGTAGTGCCACAGTCTAAGATAAGCATTAAGTGATCTAGAGCACACCTGAAGATATTTAGAACTTGAGCACGAGGTTTATCAACCAGCCACTGCAATGATCCAAACACCCTGTCTAGCTTCTCCTTCACAAAGCCCTCATGAGGTATATTATTCCCCCATGTGAAAAAGTGACTCACCATACTGACTTTCTGCATGGTCATTGTGGCTATGAAGTTCTTAAAACCCTCACAACTACTTACAGGTCGGACACTACCTTCTTTATTCTCGCTCCCTCTACACATGTCATTTTGATCCCCTCTTATGCACCACTTGGATCCCCAAAGAGGTCTATTCTTTTCCGGTTGTTTCCATTGGGCTTTTCTTGTTCTTTTCTCAGTGCTGGCATAAATCAGAATGAGCCACTCAGTATCCTTCTCAGAAGAGATTCTATACTACACTTGAAAATAGAAACTTGATAGAAAATCTGGATAATCTCCACTTCTCTACCCCTCAATAACAGTAACCTTACACTTGGACCATTTGTCTTTATTCTTGCCATCTACCTTCAAAATCTATTTTTTATGTTGCAGTTGTTAACTCTAAACTTATTGTTGATAAAGCTTGCTCAGTTGCAGATGTTGAAAGCAGCAAGTTAGCAAATATAAACAAAACAGCTAGACTTAGATGCTGAAAACACAGAGTGATGGGGAAAGTAAAACATTTTATCATGGTTTTTGATCGCGGGCTATGGAAAATAGCGTCGGGCATTTCTGGCCGCTATTCGACGCTATAGCGCAGCTATAGCGCCGCTATGGCCGCGCTATAGCGCCGCTATGGCATAGTAGCGCCAGGCTGTTTTTGCCGCTATTCGCGCTATTCGTGCTATTCGCGCTATTTGGCGCTATAGCGGCGCTATTTAACGCTATATAGCGTCAAATAGCGCCGCTATAGCGCCAAATAGCGCGAATAGCGCGAATAGCGGCAAAAACAGCAATAGCTTGGCGTTAGCTGATCTGAGCCGCTATAGCGCGCTATTTAAAACCATGCATTTTATATAGAAATGCTTCTCAGACACTATCTGTGGGTACAAATATTAAAAAACGAGGCATGTGTATTGATGTGATTTGCAGGGTTTGTGGTGAAGCCGAGTAAACACAAGATCATTTTTTTTTCAATCTATAGCACAAAGAACCTGGAAACTTGCACCATTTTAGTGGGACAATCTCCAAATTTATCAGATGAAATTTAAGGAGTGGTGGTGGTGGCTCAGCACAATGGACATCAAGGAATCATCCGTACATAGAATACAACTGTCTACCTACATCTTATGGTTAGACTTGTCAAAACGGGCCTAGGCCCGCGGCCCGCCCCGCCCCGCCCCGCTGAAAAGGTGGGTTGGATTGGAATTTTTAAGGCCCGCTCTGGCGGGCCTGGTGGGCCACGGGCCAGC